AGCAAACTAGCTCGTCACACACTCTCTCCATCTGTCTCCACATCGAGCAACTCAGAAGCGACAGGAGGTGAGCGGCAATCTCCGCTTGCCGCTCAACTCCTGACGCTTCTGAGTTGCTCGATGTGGACACAGAGGGCTGGAGGGGCCCGGATCCGGATGTATATTCAATTGTACATATTTCAGGATTTCGTGGCTGGAAGTTGGGCACTGGAGGTTCCCCCATTCATGACATGAAAGGGGGTATTCTTCAGCGCCCAAAGTTCAATTGTACATATTTCAGGGCTGGATGGCCCATTGTGGATATGTGCATCTGGAGAATGATGTGCTGCGGCAGTCAGCCAAGCGGCAAGTTCTTCGATGAAGGACTTGCTGTTTGGCTGCCTGCTTTTTAGCAATGTGGCTCAGAAAGCGAGGACAGATCCCTGCCGTTGGAAAAAAGAGAAACTGTGTGTGTTTGTGTGCATGGTTTGTGTGAGGCTTTTTGTGCAGATGAAAAAGAGGGCTGGAGGGCCCCGGATATGTATATATCATTGTATGTTTCAATGCTGGATGGCCCATTTTGGGATCACAGATCGGCTGGATGGCCCATTTCACAAAAAGGGAAGGGGAAGGGAGAGGATGGAACAGGAATGGGAGAGGGTAAATAGAGAGGTGGGGGAGTACAGGGGTTGTGTGGGGGTGGTGTGGGGTGGGGTTGTGTGTGGGGCGGGGTGGGGTGTGGGGAGTATAAAGCAGACCCAAAAGTACAACAAAAACTTTTGGGTTTTCCAACCAAAAATTGTATAAACTTTTGGGTGGGCCAGCCCTAAAGTTTATACACTTTTTTTAAGCCAACCCAAAAGTGTATACACTTTTTGGGCCCCCCCAAAAAAGTGTATACACTTTTTGCCCCCCCCCCCAAAAAAAAAGTGTATACATTTTTTGCCCCCCCCCCTCCCCCCCCAAAAAAGTGTATACACTTTTGGGGGGCTAAATTTGCCCCTGGAGTCTAAATTTAGCCCCCCAAATCTCGAATTTGGGTGGCTAAATTTAGCCCCCAAATTTAACCCCCAAAAGGGCCTAAATTCTCAGGGGAGCCTGAATTGACAAGTTTAGCCCCATTGGATCTATCAGGTGGGGGAAAAGAAGCTTTGGCAACTACTGCACGTACAAGCAAGGATCAACGTCGTGGTGTCAACGGTTGTCGAGCGCCACACGTTGGACAGGCTCCAAGCGCAACATTCGTGTTGCTGAGATCCCGTGTTCACGCCAATGACCGAGTTGGGACGACGCTTCGTCTGCCGGATTTGGCACTCTGTTGTTGTTGCTGCAATGCTTATGCAGAAGATTGATTCGGGCCTCGTTACCAGTTTATTGGCTGCGAAGTTTCCAAGTCTGAAAACATGGAGACGCCAGATTTTGAGACGTTGAATGCTGTTGGAATGAATACAGTGACGCTAGATATCAGTGCTGGATGATCACCATCGGTGCGTATGCTTCTAAAATACAAAAACCAATTGAACCTTGCTGTTCGTTCGCGACTTTGGTTTTTTTCTCCACCTGCTAGCGGTGCAATTTGCATGTCCATGATTCAAACGATGAAGATTCCTTTCGCAATAGTTACTTGAATAATTCTTGTAATATTTTGAGGCTGCCCTGTGATGTGCGAAGGGCGTGGCCGGCTGCGGCTGGAACTTGCAATTTTAAAGCACTCGTGGCGCATTCTTTTTGCCAAGAGGTTTCATTCAACAAATGATTTTGCCATGATTTGAGATCGCCCTCCGTTAACCGTTGACAAAAGCCCAAAGTGGACGTTAATAAGCATCGCGGGTGGCTGATGTTGACCGCCAAGAGTGTGAATGTGCAACCCTGTCAATACCTAGCCCATCCCAGATGCCTAGGTTTTTTGTTGCGAAAGTTGTGGTTCCGAGCTTGTCATGAACATGTCAGCTTAGCAACACGATGCAGTGATACAGCTTGGAAAGCGAGGTAGGCTCTGTCCTATTCTTTACCCAGAGCACTCCCGTTTGGCCCTTGCAAATGGGCTGTTAGCCGAGACTCAGCTGTGCTTTCCGATCTGCGAGTAGCCCTGGTCCAACCTGAGACCCGAGCCATGTGGGGGTCGTGCCGACCCGGCCGACCGGGTCCAAAACTCGAGGCGTGATAGCTTGTTTCCATTCACCGTTAAGTCTGACATGCGCGCAAGGGTCATGGAGTACTTGCAGCCGGTGCGCTTCGTGCGCAGGCACAGGTAAATGGCGCTGCCAATTCCTAAAACTTAAGCATGAGTACTGAAGTGGAAATGTCGTGATGGATATAAAATTGCCATGTGTATTGCGACAAGGCAATGGCTTCGGGCCCATGTGTCGAGCCTTGTGCGAATCCTCCAATGCAAGAGGTTCGGGTCAAACCCATGCCCAGAACAGAATTCTGAAACTCTTTCAATAGGTGCAAATCGAAGAGCAGATCGTGGAGGCGAGGTGCTGAGGGAGGAAGTGATGGAGGAAGCTTCAGACGTCCGGCGGAGCTGATAGGTGAATGTGTGCCTCAGGTTCCCACGGTGCTGTATCAGGAAAAAGTGGTGGAGGCTGAAACTGACTGCTCATTTTCGATCGTGCTGAACATGCTGGAGCTTTTTTGCATAGCAGAGCCAGATTGATGTGCCAGCCGCGTGCTTCTGAAGGTGCCCAAGGTACAGGAGACGATCCTTCTAAAGCAAGTTCCGCGGGTTGAGGCACCGACCTGCCGCAGCAGCAGTTGCATGGACCCGTTTACTGGCCGTTCGGCTTGGAGCGTTGTCTGAGCTAGAGGATTCTGGGTGTGTGCGAGTCTCATGACGCAAGACCAATTTACTGTTCTGGCTTGACGAGCGACGCAAAGAAAGCTATGCAGATGTTTCCTAAACATGGTCGTAGAATGCTACAGAAATTCGGATGGCAGCTGTCTGTGCTCATGTTTTCCACAGCTCCTGGCGTGTGGGAAGACAGTGACAGTTGCTTCAGTATGAGGCTGCATTCTGGAGTTGATCGTTAAGTTGTACGACCACGTCGGAATGCCAAAGCTGACTTGCCGACTGTACCACTTGCGCAGCAAGGTTATGTCGTGGGCAATAATAAGGTTCAATAATATGGAACCCGAACTGCTCTGAACCCTTTGCATAGGGTCCCAGATTGTGCTTGAGTTCTTCACTCTAGATGAACTGGCATCTGACCATGGGCACATTTCGTGTGTTTGAGCCGATGGCAGCCTTGCTGATGTTATGTTGGGCGAGCAGGCCTGCAGGGAAGTATTGCAGCTGCGGTACGTACATGTTGTGCGATCATACCCTTGCAGAAAAAAGATAAGGTCATCGGTGTGGATAGGTTTTTATCAGATGTTGGCAATGTCGTGGATGAGAGAAGATAGTTTGTGTAGCCTCAACAACCGGCCAGCATGACTCGGTTCGAACTGACGTCACGTGAGTCGAGTATCTGCGAAGTTCTGCCCCTTTGTGTGCTCGTGCTCGCTGTAGTGAACTTCTGGATGCATCTTCGACCATGTGAGGGCTTTCTTGTGGTGGCCCGTGCGAGAACCGAAAGTTGCACGGTATGGCTTGGTCGACAAGCTTCGCCACAGCCCAAGCTTCAGCTTTGCGTCACTCAGGAACAAAAGTCGTGGCCGAGAATTGTTTTGTAGAGACCTCAATAACGGTTGTGGCAATAGCAATGTCAGTACACTGACAGTTATCACTAGTTGGTGATTGTTGTTGGTTGACATCAGCTGTCAGCTGCAGGTGCAAAAGGCAACCGGGCCAAGCCGCAGCTCCGCCAGGCATCGACAGTTCTGCTTGAGCAGCCAGAAGGACGATGCACCTTGCGCAAAGGTGGATGGACCCGTTCCGCTGTCGTCGGCACTACCGCCAGGTCGATTCTGCTGTAGAGTTCTCCTGTTTCTTGGAGACTTGGTAGACTGCGATTTTAGCTGTTGTAGGTTGGAATGGCAGGTTCCACAGCACCTGAGTTGCGAGCACGTGCACATCGTTTGCATCTCGGACCCACTGGCACTTTTCTGAGACCGATACGCACCATCATTCAGGCATGTGGCATGGTGACGCATGATCCTGTGTTTCAGTACTAGGTCAACGTTTATGCGGCATGCATCTGCAGACAGGATCGATGGCCAGCCAGACCTGCTAGACACGGTGAAGAAGTCATCGGACAGTCCGGAGTTCGTGCTTGAATCGACCACCTGACGGAGCTCTTGATTCCGTGAAAAGCATCCATGCAGGATTTCCTTCTCGTGCCCATGCGACCAGAGGATGCTCAAGACCTAGCAGATTTGCAGGACACGGGGCGATGCACCGCCGGATGCCGCTTCCTTTGTGTTCTCGACACAGGAAGAGTGGTTTCCAAAGGAATCCTGCAGAGGATCGCAGATGCAACGGCGCTGGCAAGTGTCCTCAGTGAGACTCAACACGTTGAGCAAGATTGTGCATCTCTGTGCGGCCAGGAGGTGAGCCTTGGTGTGCCCAGCTGCTGCGTCATCCCGGCGTCATAGCGTTTAAAGCCACGATCCCCCAGGACGGCTCACGGTTAAGCTCAACTGTGGAAACCAAAATGCAGCTGCAGCATCCGGGACGAAGTATCATTTTATGATATCCAGGCTGGGGCCTCTAAGCATCTGCGGCACGGTGGATCCTCTTAGCGGTCCTAGCGTGGTTTGCAGCGGGTCAACCAAAGAGATAATTCAGTTTCAGATTTGCAAACAACAGTTCCCTCACAGCCAGAAGGCGCACCTGCAGACACTGGACTCCAGCTAGGAAGCAAGTACCTATGCAAAAAGGTTTGTGACCAGCAACTTTCAGGATGAAACAGCTGCTCCAGTTGGCATTGTCGTGGCCCTCGCAAGCCGCGAGGCTATAGAGGTGGGAGCCTTCTGAGAGACCAGTGCCCTCGTTCATAGTGCCGTTTCTTGGACCTAGCCTTCAATTGTGCATCTTTTGAAGAATGCTTGAAGGAGTTTGCTGGTGAAGATACCGCAGACATGCTGCGAGCCGATGTGGCACGTCCCAAGTACATCGCCTGGGACAGCCCTTGCCCAAGAAGTCGACCTGAGTACTCGCACTATCAGCATTGTGACGCGGTGGCAGGTGCCGATGGCAGAGAGCTTGGCTACGTGCTGAGTCTAGGCAGCCTGGGAGAGGCTTGGAGAGCAGCTGTGCCTTTTGGCATGTGATTTCTTGTAACCATAGCATGTAATGCCAGAGCATGCGAAAGAGTATGCTGACCCTCGGGTCCCGGTCTTGTACCGCGAGGCCGAGGTGGGCGTGGTATGTTCCGTTTTGGAGCTTATGTCTTGTTTTAACTGTTTGCTTTTCTTCCTCTTGTTTTGCTCTTGTTCTTTGTTGAGACAGGCCCGTGTATGCCCGTGTGCCATTTGCTCAGGTCCCGACAATGTTCGGCATTGTTCGGCGAAACCCTGCTGAAGTGATTGCAAATCTCGCAAAACCGACAAATTCCGCGCGTGTTCTGCCTTAGATACCCGTTCCGATGGCATCTGGTCATCTCGAGACAACGGGAAGGGGGAGTGATCTTGAAGGAGAGGTGAAGACTAGAATTCGGCGAAACGCGAGGAGGCGGCCAGGAGAGGGATTTGGGTAGACATTTTCAAAACGCAGAAACTCAACACTAGCTGTAGTGACTGGGCAAGGTCAGGCGAGACGGATGACACGACGTATAGCTGAGTTGAGGACACGTGCGGAAGGGTAAGATGATGTTTGATGTTGTACCATCGGATGTTATGCATGTTGAAACCTTCACCCATGTGCAACACATGCACCAAGACCGCTTCCCACATGCGTTAAAAATCGGCACAACTGAATGTAAAACCGCCATCGCATCCAGTTGTGGCACACTTGCGGCGAATGTCGAGACTGCAAGAGCTCCTTCCAAGACAGCAGCGGTCAGATTTTAAGCAGATTCGCCTCGAGTCAACACATCACATTCACGGCACTTCCGAGTCGACACAGTCAAGAGAAATCTCGTCTTGCAGTCGCAGACAGACAGACAGACTGACTGACTGATTGACTGACTGATGGACAGACTGACAGACACAGGACAGACTAACAGACAGACGGAGGAACACAGGAAGACTGACAGATAGACTGACTGACTGACTGACTGTCTGACTGACTGGCACTGACAGACAGACGGACATTCTCACAGACCAACCGACTGACAGGCGGACAGGCGGACAGAGGGACAGACGGACAGACGGACAGACAGACAGAGACAGACAGAACCATATCTTTTTACAGTCCTGCTCCGCTTCTGCTGTTGTTGTCACACCCTCCTACAAAGCCTCCAGAACAGGGTCGCGCCTTTCGGAGCGAGGGGCTTGACACGCCTCCTATGCCCCGAAGACAAGCACAGACAGAGACAGACAGCGCGCGGAGGGGTGGGTTGCCGCCTGCCTCTTCTGCCCCAGTACAGAGAGAGAGAGAGAGAGAGAGTACCGTAGCCATTTTGGCTCAAGTGCTGCAACCTTTGCTGGGAGGCCTGTGCCGCCTCCTCGCATCGGGGGGAGAGACAGGGGAGTTGACCTGGGGGCTGTTCACCCCTAGGGGAGCTCTCCTGTTTCTCTCCAGCGGTGCTTGAGCTAAACATACCCGACGTGTTTTTGCTTAAGTGGCCCCGGAAGAGCCTTTGCGACTCCTCGCCATAACCGTGAAGGGCAAGTGTGTTGCTCTACTTTCTTGTGGGGGACCTAGTTTGTGCAAGAGCTTCCTCGTCGACATTCCTGCGGGGGAGGCAACAGACTTCTTCACCCACCGCCACCTTGCAGTGCTGGCCACGGGGACCCGGGGGAATACGAACGCTGGGTGAAGCGCAACATCACCTCAGGGTTCGTGACTTGGGTCAAGAACGGCGAGACAGGCTTGAACACCTACGTGGACCATGGCCGAGCTGGAGGAGATGGCAGGACCGGAGGGGAAGATTTGCAGACTTTGTCGTTATGCTCAAGGGATTTGTCAGGCTGGTTTTCGCAAAAATCACGAGCGTACCGATCCGCAATGCAGACTGCATGGGGTGGAAGGTCGGGCATCGGGGGCGAAAGCAGCTCCAAAAAGCCAGGCCGACCCTCCTCTCAAGGGGGAGACGCCCGCCACAGCCTCTGCTATGACGACTCAAGCCGACAAGGTCCTCTTTCGGACGCGGAGGGGGCTGCATTTACAATACAAACCGGAGCCGAACATAGACCAATGGATAAACTCCGAGGTGCAGTTTGACCGGGAGAAGGGGGGATATATAAAGCCTACGGGGAAGGTGCTCAACGCGACCGAGAAAGGCACTTTTGCGCAATACCAGCGCAGACATGTGGTCCGTTGCCGTGCGGGGGACTTGGCGGACAAGCTTGCCCGAATGGTGGACAAGTACCTCCCACGACGGGTGGCCAACGAAAGCCGAGTCTACATCATGCGTTTTCCCGAGACGATCCCCAAACTGCTGAAGCGAGTGTGCAAAATCCGCAGAAGGATTAAAGCTACCAGGCAGGGGGACGGCAAGATGGCAGTGCAGACCTCAAGGAAGCGGACGAGACAGAGGCATGAGACAAGGGGGAGCACAACAAGGAGTTCAGTGCCAAAGCCGAGGGGGATAAAGACAGGGCAGCATGTGACAAGGGAGCACGACGACGAACAAGAAAGCATCCCGGACTGGGGGGATGACGTCGCGAACGATGACAACGAGGAGGATACACCCACAGCGACGACAGCTGCTCACGTGGCCGAGGGAGATGACGAAGCTGCCATGTGGCCCTGGGGGGATCGAGGCAGACCCTCGGACAGAGGGGAAAGTGTTGGGGTGCTCGCCCAACGACCCAACTTGCCTACCACACCCAGAAGGCAGAGCTCGTCTAGGGGGAGCACACTCCAGCAAGCTGTGCAAATGGTCCAAGCGCATATGGCGCAACAACGTGGCGAGCGGGGACGACTTCGACAAGAACTGAGCCGTGACTGAGTCGGGGGGCTTTTTGCCCATGTACATTTCTTGCAACCCGTACCTCGCCTTCCTTTTGCAGACTAAAGTGGGGGGGGGGTTTAGTTTCGCTTCAGGATGTGACTTCGTTTTCTGTGATAGGAAGGGGACCATGTACTTCAATCCTTAATGCAGTTCTTTGAATGGCAAACCGAACCATTCCGTGAGTGCATGTTCGATCCAGCTCGAGTAACCTCGACTCCACACAATTTGGACATATAGGCGGGGGAAGCGAACTCTTTAAACGGGCCATACGTCTGGCTCTCCTCAGGTAAACTCACTCCAAATCCGGGCCACACGCCCATAATCCTCGTGTTTTTTTAACGCCCCCTAGCCCTGCTTGTCCCTTCTTTCTACGGGGAACAGATGGACCAGGCAGTGCGGACCTTAGCTTTTGAACTTAGTTTGTTGAGTGCTTGTGTTCCGGGGGAGTCACTGGTCTATCGCCCCACTTTCTCTCCTGTAAAGCCAAGCCCCCTATGGCAACTTTCCGTAGGGGGATCTCTCCGCCAAAGACTCGCGGCTGCGCGCTCGCGTGCGGGGGGATGGGCCCGGACCGCCCTGAACCCCAGTGCCGGTAGAGAGAGAGAGAGAGAGAGGGATACAGACGTTTGTTTCAACCGGCGCTTGGTACCGGTTCGAATTTCCTCTGGGGTATCTCACAGATGCCTGTAGGGGAACTCCAAAAAATTGGGGGAACTTTGAGCATGTCCTGACAACAACTGAAATGCCATGAAGTTGCATCTTGTTAGAACCCTATGTCCTTCTTGCTATGGCCATCTATGGCCTTCATTGTTGTGCTTGCTGAACCTGATGATCCGTTTGAGGGGAATTTGCTGTTACATGGACCATGTTCTACTTCTTGTGACAAGGAACATCAGAAATCTTCTCACACAGAACCGGGGGAACAGCAATACGCTGGGAACCTGGGACAACCGCGGACTCAGCTGCGCGCATGCGGTTGGGGGGGGGACCTACAGGTGCTTTCCCTCGAAGCTGCAAGCAAGCAAGCAAGACAGACAGACAGACAGGCAGGCAGGCAGGCAGACAGACAGACAGCCGTGTCTTGCATTTGCGTTGCACTGCTTCGGCTTTGTTGCGCCGTCTGCACTCGCAGCTCCGGCGCCGTGGCCTCGCATCTGCGCTGCTCCGCCGGGCGATGAGTGCCCTACGCACCGCGGCCAAGCCCAGAGAGGAGCTCTTCGGAGGATGGGTAGCTCTCGTGTGGTACGCGGTCAACGGGAGCTCTCGTTTTTCGTCGTGCTCGCATCTTGCAGGCACGGGTGGTCCAAAAGACACATCGCTCAGAGCTGTGGAATACGACTGAGAACTGTTGGACTTGTTTCGGTCCAACAGAGTTGACATCTTGTAAGTCTCGACATCACCTTCCATCGGTTGCTGGAGCTGAGGCCTTGCACCTTGCAGGCTACAACCGCCCTTCGGATGACCCATGAGCGCAGGGCATTGGGTTTTGCAACTTAAGTGCACGACAGAGCAATCGCTGCTAGGTGTGGCTCGAGCCTGCTACGAACGTGCCGGGTTCGAACTGCTGAAGGAGCCTTCAGAGTGCATGTCGTAGTGTTGCTATACATTGCACTTGCTTGCAGTTCTTCTGCGGAAGGAGGAGCCAGACTGCTACGCAGGTGCCGGCAGAGAGAAGCACTCGTCCTTGCTGCAGCCTGGAAGATTCATCGTTCATAGTTTGACGGCACTCGGGAGCTTGTGGCAGATATTAGCCGCCAAGGTATGCGCTTTTCCTGACCTGAACTGCTGCTTCGTGTTGCAATGAAAAGTGCTCGATATTGGATGCACTTCGCGAGTTAGTCGTGCAACGATGTGCTCAAGCCGCGACAGGTGCAGGAAGTGACCAAAGAAGTGGCGAGACCAGTCTACGAGGCTACTCAACCCTTTCTCCTGTTCTCTCTCTGTCTCTCTTTTGTTTTGACATCGCATGACTCAGGTGACTGAGAAGATCGTAGAAGTACCCCACGTCTTGATACAGGAGCGGATCGAAGAGGCAGATCGTTCTTGACTCTTAAAGGTTAACTTTTGGCGATCTGCAGCGGCTGTCTGGAAAGTGCGCAGGTTCCGAAGATCGAGTATGTGAACCTGGTGAAACAGATCCCCAAAACTCAAGTGAGGGAGGTGCAAAAGCAGGTGGACTGCATAATGCACAGATGTAGAATTGACCGGTGCCGGGGTGTCATTCAGAGGTCGGTGTGCCGGTTTACCAGTGCCGGGAACGAGTGGTCGAGGCCGTGGCAAACGCTGCGCACTGCTCGATCCGACACATGTGCAAGCGGCACACGACAAGAGCAGTTCTTTGCAGGTTCCCACTGCAATGGTTGCTGAGCAGATGGTCGAGGTTCCCCAAGTTCATGTCGAGGCTCCGAATGTGGGATGGTCGGGCCCAGGGAGAGCTAGCACGGCGATGTCCTGAGTTTCTAACCATGATGTGGGCGTTGCAGGGCCTGTAATTGAGGCCCGTTGTGAATGGTTCACAGATTCGCATTGTGTGCGCTTGTTGGTGCCAACTCTTTCGACTTCTACCTTCTTCAGCGTCATCTTTTGAAATGGCTGTTGATTCTTGCTTGTCATTCTTTCTTGCCGCGCTGGGATCCCAGAAATTTTCGGCCCCGGTGCCAATGTCTTCTAGTCAAAATAGGATCCTGTCCAGACTTCGTTGTCCCTTGACACAACAACAAGTGTGCTGTACGACCACGAAGGCACGCAGAAATGAAAGCCTGCAACTCCGGCTCTTAACAGTTTCTGCTATCCTGCGCGCGAGAGGAGAGGGGGATTTGGATTCACTGTCCGTGCAGATTGTGCCTTGCTTTGGTTCCTTCCCTTCATCACCACCTTAGCTTTTCATCTCCTCGTGATCCGATGCGGTATGCCGCCTCCGTCCTTACTTCTGTCTTCTCATCTTTTCGCGCTATACCTGTGTGACGTTGACTGCGGCCTTGCAGCCTTGCAATTCCGGAGCGTCTTGTTCATCTGGCCGATGCGGGCTCAGTATCTGAGCCGGCCCACGAATTTGCTCCTTCCCGTCATCGTTGTGCTCAGCACCCACGCTCAGACGTTTGTGGCGTAACTGCCCCATCTCCGCACTCACCATCTAGTAGCTATGCCTTGCAGCCGTATTTGCATGTTGCGGTTTTGGGTTGGAACTTTCCAGAGCATCTAGCGAAGATGCAACGGTGTGTTGGTGTTGCAGTTGCTAGAACTGGTCTTCACAACTTGAATTCACGGAAATCCATGCCGAAAGCCCTGTGAAGGAGCTTGTGAAGGAAGTGGCGCGACCGGAGGTGGGAGAAGCTTAAGCAGATGCTTAAGCTATGCCTGACCACGCCGAAACACGACTACGCCGAAGCACTGTCTTTGCTTTTGTTCGACCTCTGTGCTCGTTTACTTTGCACATGACTCAAATTCAGGTGCAAGTCGTGGTGAAGCCCATTGAAAAACCAGTCAACGAGTATGTGGAGAGGGTTGTGGAGGCAAGAAGAAGCGATCGAGTCATTTTGAATGCTTTTTTCTCCCCCCGGCAGATTCCACATACGACGATTCAGGAATGCATCGTCGAGGTTCCATTCTGCTTATGACGATGACTGGTCTTCTCTGCTTCTCTTCAGGTGCCGAAGGTAGAAGTGCACGAGCTGGTGAAGCAGGAAAGGGAAATGAGGGAGTCGTGTGAAGTCACTGCGAACAGTGTACCCTTGGTTCGAAGGTTCCTCGGCATGAGGTCCAAGTGGTCGACAAGCAGGCAGGTTATGTGTCACCTGGCACTGGTAGGCGCTTCCTTACAGCGTTGCAGAGTGCAGCAAGCTGTGCAGTTATGCTTTCTGAGCACGTGCTTTTCGCTTGTCGTGCTCCCGGTGCAAGCAAGCTGTGGCATGAGAACTTTCCCTGAACTGTTTGGGGGCTGATGCCCAAGAGGATGATTGGGAACAGCACTAACGGTGAGCAGGTGGAGACGGTGGAAGTTCAGTATGTGGAAAAGGTTGCATCTGGGCCGCACTGTTCCCCCAGAAGCCCTCATGTTCCTGATTCCTGATTTGAAGATTTCCAGAGCCCAAAGCATCTGTCACCAAGGTGGAGGTTCCGCACGTCATCTACGAGGAGCGCTCGCAGCCTGCGCAGAAAGACTTCAGTATCTGCATTTCCTTCCGAAGGAGAAGATCGTGGAAGTGCCCACCGTAGAAGTTCGCGAGGTGATAAAGCAGGTTTCCAAGCCCGAGGCCTCCAATGCTGCACAGGTCTGGTTAGACACCGATTTAGGGGGCAAAGACCAAGTAGCCAAGGAAAGGTACAGATGTCTGAATGTCGCTGATTCTGTGAGCTCGGAGCTTTTGCATTGGCTCCCAGCCTGAAACGGAATCGAAGCGTTCGAGTCTGACACCCCAGACGCGCAGGCCTGATTAGTTAGTTGCGAGGGCCTCGAAGTGTCGCCATGGCGCAGCTTGATGCTTTGAAGCCCGTAGATGGCCTCGAGGCACTGTGGGAGCAGAGTCTTTCGAGTGTTTCCATTTCTTCCGACAGCGTGACCATTGTCGAACGCCTGCCAGCTCATGGATGCTGGCATTTTTTGTGTTTTGCAGGGTTCACCCGGCAAGTCAATCTTGCCATACTCCAAAGGAGGAACTTGATGCCAGTTCATAGAAGCATAGCCGGTAGGAAAGGCCCCCTAAATAACATCTTCGATGTTTCAGTCTTGTGAATCTTCGATACGCAATCTTCGAGCCTTCGACCAGCGCTCGGTCCGGCCAAGCTTGCCAGGCTCAACGCTCGGAGACGCTGGCATGGCTCACAACAGAGCATGAAGTGGCTTCTTGGCTGCCACGAAGCCTGTGTGCTGGGGTGTACTGCGTTTCTCGCACTGAGGAGATGCAGGCTTTCGTGCACCAGCATCTGCTGAGTATGCTGAGTCCTTTTTCTCAGCGGCTGAAGGATCTACAAGACGAGATCGAGGCAGGCTGTTTGCCAGGGCATGGTCGACAAGAAAGCTAGCATGGTCGATTTTCAGATGATCAGTTGGAGTATCTACTGGCACGGAGCGACATTGGGGGAGTGGAACGCAAGAACTCCTTACAACATCTCTGAAGCGACAGAGCGCCTCTGAAGTGCAAGCATGCAACAACATGAAGTCCTGTGTCCAGGCATGCAGAGATGACTTGAACCGCAAGGCCGAGCAGCTGAAGCACACGGATACCGTGGTGAAGCGCCATGTCACCATGTCGGTTCTGATGTGCAGTGCGATGCAGTGATGTGCAGATCTTCAGAAGATTTCAGAAGCCAGGTTCTTGCTTTGCACTAAGGCAGCATGGACAAGAGTTGATGACCTTAACAATGGACGTGAATCAGGCCTTGAAGGGATTCGATGGCTGAAGTGTCTCCTGCCTGTTCGCCTGAGCAATTGCCTGTGGAGGCGCATGCAGCTGTTGGAGGCCTGAGGCAGGAGCTCCTGCCGGAGAGAAGCAAAAAGATTGACGAGCACAAGGTGGAGGACGAGTTTGTAGAGGCTCGCTGTGAGCTGGGGTCAGCAAAGGGGCAGTGTTGCTCACAACGTCGGATGAAGGAGCCGGATGAATGTGCATGTAGGGCTATGTGCCTTGAGGAAAGTCATTCAGTGATTGTGTGTTGCCGGAGCTCAATCCTTGAACCTGTTGTGGTCAACGAAGGTGCGACAGAAGCTGAAGCGATTGCAGACCGACTTGTCGTCTCAACCTCAGCCTTTGATGAGCCTGCGCACCCGACCTACAGCTCTGCAGAGGTCCAATCAAGAGGTGCAGGCCAGAGTTGATGCTGAACTGCGGGACCTGCAAGCCATTCAAAGGCGAGGGCCGAGGTAAGTCGAGTTCTGTGCCATGGTTCAGACTTTTCTCGTGTGGAAGGAAGACCTCGTCCGCAGTGGCGGAGGTTACTGGAGAGCTGCATGGGCTGCGGGAGCCACCCAGACAAACAGAACCCCTTTTGCAGAATCGGCCCGGTGACGGCGCTGACAAGGTCCAACGACTTTCTCAGCCACTGTTACTCCGGGATATCTGGCCGTGTCGAGCAAGCAAAGCGAGTTGCAGACGTGCCTAGGTTGAAAAGCAGTCAGCCCGTTCGCTTTTCTTTTGTGGGCCAAATCTTTCGGCCTGCAATACAACTGTGCAGTTGCCAACTAGTTTGTGACAGCGAGCGAAGAGCGCAAAACTGAGGACACACAGTCGGCTTTCTCAAAGTTTCAGCACACGGCTACAAATCAGCTGGAGGATCTCAAGAAAAATGGCCGCTCAGCTGTGCAGATGGCATGAGATGGCTGTAGTGTTGGTCATGGTTCGGATCTGGAGTTGACGGATTGATGCGTGATCGCATGATGTGATGGGGCCGATAGCATTGTTGACACACATGCCGTTAGGGTCCTCTGGGCCCTGGGCCGTTGTAAGCCTCTTCGGTTATTCTCATCAGGGCACGTTGCCGTGGCAAGGCTGCGCTTCTTTCGCAGAGAGTTTGACGCCTCTGACGCCCAGTTGGGCTTGAAGGGTGGAGTGTTTGTGTGTGTGTGTGCCTTCCGTTGCGTGAAGCAGGCCTGCCACAACTTTCTTCGCGCATCGATTCCCTGGAGGCTGGGAGGCCAAATCACAGTGTTAGTGTAATTCGAATCGCAACGCAATACGCAACTAGACTGGAGTGCTTTTAGTGTCTTAGTATGAGCAGCCTCAGACGTTCTGATCAAGGCGCTTACGTTATTAAACGGGGCTGTGAACCGCATCTGCGCTGCTCTTGCCGCAATAGCTGGGACCGCATCGGTCATGGCAGGCAAAGCAAAGAACGCTGGCAAAAGAAGCGCAAGCTGATGTCGAATCACTTGCACAGGCACGGGTTCATTCAGGGCCAGGGCATGGTCTCAAGCAGAAACTGAGCTACGCGTGAGGTCAAACTTCAAGTGGCACATCTCACGACAGCTTTGGCAAGCTTGGACGAATCTGTGCAGGCAGGATTAAAACGAGCGGACATGTCAGAACTGGAGTCGGAATTGCATCTGTCATGCAAGCCTGCAAGTCAGCACATCCAGGAAGGCCAGAGAGTAGCGTGGGCCCCAGCTGTTCGCAAATGCTCCTGGCTCCTGCTTCGATCATATCGCCATGTTCTTCTTCCACATTTGGAAGGACACAGCGCAGACCAGCCTGGTGCACGAAGAGTCGATCAATCGCAGGGGCAAGCTGGAGCGAATCAACACCAAGGTCGATGAAACCAAGGCGAAACGAACAAAAAAATCCCTTGACTTTGGAGAGAAGTCTCTGTCGTCTCTTTCGCTCTGTTTTGGGTGTTTGAGTCGGAGGCTGAGCTTACGGAGCTGGCCCAGACTTTGCACTCGGACCTCTCAAGGCCTGCGGCCTCCCGAGAGAAGCGAAGAGCGATGCCTTTCGCTTCTTTGCTCGCTTGGATAGGCGCATTAACGACTTGGCGGTTCTTCTGGATACCAAGAGCCATACCATTCGAAGCAACACTGCCGCCATCAGAACTGTGGAGGCATGGAAGTGACGAATGCTGAAATGTGCAAAGAATCACCTGCCCTGTTGCAGAGTGGTCTCAATGCCCTCGGAAGCGATGTGCGGTCTTCCACGGCCAAGATTGGTGAGCAGGCCATTGTGCAGGACATCTGATGCAGATGGAGCCGGTTACATAACATGACGGGGGGTATCTAGCTTGAAGCCTTGGCACCATACAGTATCAAATGGCAAAGATGCAGCCTAAAGACATTGCACCTCCGGACATGGCCGTTCAAGGGGAACCACAAAGAACCTTCATGAACTGCCACTCCACAAGCTTCCTTTGTGCAGTCACTCTATGCCCCCCTGCGCGGAACATTGACCGAGGGTTCACGAGGAAATGAAGACAACACATTGCAAACACAATGAACATGCATGGACATGTAGTCGCAGCCAGACACGCGGTGAACAGCAGCAGCAGCAGCAGCAGCAGCAGCAAAGACAAACAAGCTCCGGAATTTGTCTTGACGCGACATGATGGAGTATACAAAGAAGTGACGCTTCCTCAGGAGAGGCTTGTGGAGCAGGCCAGAGTCGCTGAGACGGAGATCCACAGCCTTTTCGACTTCCGAAAAGAAGCCATGACCAAGCTGCAGGCGTGGAGGGTGTTGAGAGAGTAGAGGCTTCCTGAAAAGGCTGCTCCGAATCAGGAAACATAAACATGCATTGTGTTTGGCAGCCTGCGAGGGTGCATGCTTCATTACATGCTGAGCTTAACCATGACATCTGGTGCCATTGTGGTTCAAGGCCTTGTTTGACCCAAAGTGGCTTGATAGTCATTCGATTCTTGTCGGGCGTTCTTCTAGGCCAGGTACCCCTTGAGACGTGAGACCTGGCTCCGGACTACGAGGACGTGTACGTAGTGTTCACGGATCGCCTTGTCTTCGCCCCCGAGAGCTTCTTCGAGTCTCGGCGGTGGAGGGTGTCATTGGCTCAGCACGGCCGCTGCCCCCAGCTTTGGGACATGGTGCCCGAGGTGGTCATATGCCCGTTTGTGACGTGCTGGCAGACATCCCCTATAATTATACACTTCACCCTATCGCATGCACCCGTGATCCTTGTGAGCGATGCCGCACTGGCCGAGGTGGGTACCAGTTCCCGTTCCCGTGGCCTCCAGGGTCCAGGCAGACGATCCAAGTCCCCCGGCAAGCCCACATCAAGTGTGATGGGCCGATGTCTGCGGAGATGCGACGGCAGTTCGCTTCAGGGCTCGCTTTGCGAAATTTTGCCCAGCCTGTCTTTGTAAAGACGTTCACTCGGCGCCCTCTATGGTCGTCCCGGTGCCAAAGAGCATCATGTGTTGTCAGCTTCCCGGTCCTTACAGGCAGCCATGCCGATCCGAGCGGGGAGGTAGCCACGGCTGCGCAGGCCCTTGTTGCTGGGATGCATGGGGCATGTTGTTAGGCGAAGTGCTCGACCGGACAGAAGTGCCATGATTGCAAGATTCAGCTTGTGCTTCTGCAAGGCCCATGGAAGACTCCAAGTCTGAAGGGGTGCTTGAGACGGAAGGAGAGGGGCAGGCGCGAGGTAAGCCCTGCTCGGGCTTCGGTTTTCCTTTTCAGGACTGTGAGCCGATGGGTGGCAGGGAGGTACCCGGCCGTACAGGGGTTCGGGCTGAGATGCGGACATTCGAAGCGCGTAAGTGCAAGCTGACAGCGGATTGGCTTGTGGGAAATCACGTGGCGGTTTGTGCCGAGATGTGGACGCATGGGCCGACTTGACTAGCCCCACTGACCGAGTTAAGCTCCGTAGCGCTCGGTCCAAGCCACCTGTGCTACAACAGAGAAGGGGAGGCACGGGCCACTTGCCACCCAGGCAAAACGTGATCCTCCACTGTGTGGCTGGCCACCACCGGGCGAATTCCAATCGCTCCCCACGGCCATCTGGCACATCCGGGCAACAGGTATAGAGCGCGACGTCGGACTATGTCCACCAAAGGCGGTGTGCTACGGTATGTCTTGTCGTGCTCCCAGCCCAGCAGCTATGTCAGAATGGCCAGGTCCCGCTTTGCAAGCATGTTGAGCGACCCCGAAGGCTGCGAGATGCATGGACGACTGCGCATCTCTCCGTGGCTTCGAGCTGGGGTCTGCAGTTCTGCGGACTGCGCCGGCGTTGTGGCAGCCGAGGCGAGGCGCAGGTGACTTTCCTTGTCCGGTTGTTTGCTCAGATGACAACAGCTCCCATCGTCAATTTTGTAGAAGATCCTTCCCGTCGTCAGCTGAGTTGGCCTGACCGGCAACCAATGTTTGATAGCGGGCCGGGCTACAGTGGATTGCCATCCCACGACCTCACAGAGCGGGTGATGCTTGCGTGGCCGGCGCCGCTGCCATGACAGCCATGACACGAGCATCTTCAGCTGCCGAGGAGGGCAGCTTGTTTGTGAGTGGCGTGGTTGGCTTGATGGCAAACCAGCGTCTAGTATCGGCCGGGCTGGCGTGGCCTCATAGCAGTGGATATATCCATCCCGCGACCTCACAGAGTGGCTGATGCCTGCGTCAGAAACTGCAACAAGTAGACCGTTCCTTTGCGGCGCTGGATTGCTCGACATCGAAAGGGCGGGTGGTGGCGCTTCACTTCGATGACGGGCGGAAGGATCCTTCTCCCTTGTGCAGGCGGTGCGCGGATTCCCCGGACTTTCTGCGAGGAACACCGACTGGATTAATACTCAGCATGATGCAGCATTTGCGTGGGTCCTCGACGAGATGTTTGTTCTTGCGGCTGGAGGTTACACGGCGCCGCAGGAGGTTGAGATGATGCGTACTGGAGCTTGACGAAATAGTTGGTGCTCGCCGAGGGTGTGTTTGCCGGCGTGAGGTGCAACGTGCAACGACTCCGACGAAACATCGGTGAAGGCAGAGTGCACTGCACCGGTTCCGCTTGCGACTGCTGTTGCAATGTGTTGGTGGGCAGCAAGGCAGGGGAAGGCTGTTGTCAGGCTACACCGCCAGCCGCTTGTCGAGACCACCGGACATCGAGTGACATCGAGAGCAATGGTTGCGCCTGCCAAAGACCAGTCGCGTTCGGTGACAAAGTGTCGAACAAGCATGTCAACGTCACTCACACCCAATGTGACAGGTTCTTGAAATGGATGCGCAACCGTGGAGTCCATTGAAGGGCACCCATCATGCCCGTGGCCGTGGCAGCGCAGCAACAGGACGGCTTTTGGTACAGTAAATAGTGATAGTGTCCAGCTGGGCGTGTAATCTCATCGGGCGGCGCTGTTGCTCCTAATCGTTTTCAGCAGTAATTGCAACTGGGGGCAACCCTTGCCCATTCCCACAGAGCGGCTCCCAATGTGTGACCCTCGATCTGGTGAAAAGGTGATGGCGGTCAGTGGTCGGCTTCGCAAGCTACGTGCGGCCGTAGCTGCTCTTGACTAGCTTGGTGATTTTCCTTGAACGGCCCGCGCAGTTTCTTCCTGGGGCAGCAGTTGTCGGAGACTCGGAGATTGGGAAATGCACAGTGCGCTGACGATTTGCGGCCTTCGACCCATGAGGCTCGACAACGTGCTTCTTGAATTCGACCAGCTTCTCAGGCAAATGCAAACCTTGCAAGGTATTTTCTTTGTTTTTGCCTTTTTGTGCGTTGCAGCAACAGCTAGGGGGAAGCTCTTTTAGATTTTACGTCTCGTTCCGCAGCGTGTCATTACCCAAGAGTCTGGGGAGCGCAGAATCATTGACAGTTCAAAACTATGGCGGGTTGCCAGTCTGCGACCTCAGAGGATTCCAATAAGTTAGTGCTGTGCTCTGCTTTGCGGCCGGCGCGGCACGGAGGGAGACGGGAAATATTACCTGCAGAGGCGATTCTGTGCTTTTGGCAAGCAGGGAAAAATGCATCGTCGTCGTGTTGATACCAGTTTGAGTGACCAGACGTCGTCCAAGGGCTCGGGCAGATCGGCATTCGGTGAGTTGAATACCCTACTAGGCGAACCGTGCGCAGTGGCCAGGGCAGGCAATGTGCTCGTTTTGGCCACACCGTCGCATTGTCCAAAAAGCCTAGGGCTAGCAGCAGCTTCAACTGGGCCAAGCATCCAAGGTGTATAGGATTCTGTGTTTCTTGGAGCAGGGTCAAAAAGCCAAAATACAGGGGTTGCATCTCGCTGCCCCGGACGTCCGAGCCAACTTCGCCGCCGTCCGGGATTCGTGAGGCCGGCAGGCGTCATCCACACATTGGAGTTCCTGCAAACCCTTGAAAGAACCCATTATACCGGAGGTTCCAGGCTGGGTGGGAGGGACAACCATGACTATCAGGCCGCGTTTGGGTCAAAGCCTTGATTGAACCGCAATGCCAGTTTGATGTCGCGCGATGTCATGGTTCAGGTCGGTATGTGGTGAAGCAGAGCTTGCCAAACTCAGTGCACATTTGCGTTACAGTGCGAACTTGCAAGGGGGTTCGGACTCACCATCCTTTTCCCACCGGCATTCCTGACTCGTCCTCGCACACTAGCACTAGCTGCTAATATCGTCTCGAAGATTATGCTTTGGTGTCCACGAGCTTGGCCGGTGGAATGACCCTAACCTTCGGCTAGGAGTGTGTGTTTGCCGCGCCCAGAGTTTTCCACCCCAACGCACTAGGTCCGCAAAGCTCTACAAAGACCTCGTAACAGACAGCAGTGCCCACCGCGCGGAAAGCCAACTCGGCAAGTGGAAAAGGATTGTCATGTGCACACACCCAGGCAAGACGTGGCATCAGACCAGTCATAAATTCAAAGGAAGAGTCGTCCAAGTGGACGTGACTTTTGAGCCCCGGCAGAGAGCTCCAGACAACGGGAGTCGGAACGGCCACGGAACAATGCCGTCAGCGCGGCGATGTTGTGAACCATCCAAGTGCTCCGCCAATTTCGGGATTGGTTCGGCTTGCTGGTCAGCGCATGAGCCACCACTGAGGTTTCGTGTTGTGCAAAATACGAACTCCAGACAGACCTCATACCACCAGGGATGGATCTCGGCAATAAAACACTCTTGCCGCGTGACAGCCACACGACCAGCTGCAATCTGATGCGGCCACGAAGCGACCGCGTACGGGCAGGGGTTGCGTGTAGTACACTTGTACACGAACATGACCCTTCTGCCGGAGAGCACTTGGCCAAGAAGGAACCGTCTCACTTGGACAGGCCACCCTCCAACTACCAGCGACGATTCGCCCCGTTGAGACAGCTGTTGCGCCTGCTACGCCTTCTAAGCCTCGTGGACCTCCTCCTCAACCGGTACATGCCATGCTGCCTACAGCGCCGATAACCACCCGCAATGCCATCTCCGAAGTCTTTCAGTCCGGCAGGTGCGGCAGGTCCACCGCCGCCAACTCCGGCCAGGGACTACCTCAGGTGACTATGCGCACAACTCCAGCCCCTGAGAAGGTCTCAGTCTCAGCATCATCTTTTTCATTCCGCCTAAGTGGTGGGCTTTTATCACAGTCAGTTTGCGTGGTGACGGAGCCTCCTGTGCGGACCCGCTAAGCCACACAGTTTTGTAAACCTGCCCGCTTGATCCCTGGTCCAGGTAGCCAGCCTCCCAAGGGATGCGACGAGCATGCTGCCTCGGGTGAAAACCTGCAGAGTCGTGTAGTTAACGGCCTGGGTTGATTGTCTGTCTGTGTGGCCTCAACTGCACTCCCATCGCCCTCAATTTGAAATTTGTCTATGCCTCATCAACACGCTGGACGCTTGGCAGCCTCCAGCCTCCAAACTGCTTGTAGTCTGAAGCCACCTTTCCTGCTGGCCTGTTGCTCAGTTCCATGAAGTAGTTTCAGTAGCTCATGTGTGCCATGTCAGCCCTTTTCAAGCCGTTCAGATTTCTTGCCGACATTTAGCGCGACCCAACCCCCTACGATGGCACTCTCTCTCTCTGCCCAGGATCACGAGCAGGACTGGACGTTTATTCACCCCGGCTGGTATTTGCATCTAGCTGCTCACACCCTCTGGCCTCTGGCCACCCCCTCTTCTGGGCTGCCGTGCAGGGCAACTCGTTCCAGGGTCATTCGCTCCCTGGCTCCCACAGGACAATCACATTACAAGCTGAGCAATGCAGCAACTCTCATCGAGGACTGCCTCAATCTCTCTCCGCAGAGGCCGCACAAAGTTTGAGCTGAGCCCATACCCCAGCAGGGTGAGGTAGCCTCCTCTGTACCTAAATCCTACATGCTTATCAGGAGGCCTTCCCGGGCCACCCGACATGTCCTGGCCCTACACTCCGGAAAAGGCCCAACAAAATGACGAAAAGAGGACGAATGTGGTCCCTTCATAAGAAGGACCCCGTCGCCGATTTAAGGCCTTGCCATGGGGCATTTCTGTTTTTCAAACTCCTATTCCCGAGATCCTCTCAGATAGCGTTGCAAAACTTGTTATCTCAGGTGTGACAGATCGAAAGCTAGCTCATCATCTGGTTGGAAGCAGGGAAGTGGATTACGCGTTCTTCGAGACCCTCCCTTCTTCAACGTACATAAGCAGTTAGTCTGACATTTGCCTGCAGTCACTAGCCGCAGCGTACAGCACGGAAATAAGCAACCCCAAAGATTTGGAAGCCATGGCCATGGATTAGCAAGCTTTCACACTGTGTCCGTGACAATGCTACAAAGAAAGGTGCAGATGCCGCCACAAGCCGAGTAGCAAGAAACCCAAAGCTTGCTCACAGCCATTCATTCATACTCTTCCCGAGGCTGCCTTGCGGTGCTGACTCCACGCAGCGACCGCTTGAGCACATGTGCTGATCCCACGGGACGGCATGCGTGGCAACACCTTCTTGCCGCAGTTCATGCCGTAGGGGGTCAGCCAATGTTTCACCCTTTCCGATGCCCGCCAAGGTGCGGGACTACCCGTACGAGCGTCTGAATGAATGAATGCCGCCGCTTCTATCGCCGGTGCGACTACTCCTCCTGCTGCGCAGCCCTGCATAGCCCAAAGTTTGATTGGCAAATCCCAAATTCCATCGCTGCTCTGCAGGGCTCTTCTGGGTGCTTCTGGGGTTTAAGGTTTGCCACCCGATTTGTTGATAGGGGGCTTGGCAACCAACATCGTCTTGTCATGTTGAGGGTTGGTCAACCTGTAATCGATTTTGAGTATGCTGTAAGGCTACGGTTCAGGGTTTGCCGACCAATATCAGTTTGTTTTCGGGTTTAGGATGCGCCAACCACGATCTGTTTTCAGGTGATTGGGTATGCCAACCAACATCTCGGTTTACGGTTCCATGATTGCTAACCGCTAACAACATTCTTTCCATGGAGAACAAGCATGTGCC